CCCCCCCCTTCCCCCCCCCCCCCCTCCATATTCAGCTGCTAAAGTGCTTCCCTTTTATTTGGGAAAGTGGGTGCTTCCACTCTATGCATTTGTGTTCCTGATGAATATATATTGGGGTAGGTTTTTAGAAGAATCCATGTTAGTCTTATTTTTATCCTTGGCAGCTGCAACTGCATCAGGAATCAGGTAGTGGATTGGAAGTATGTGAAAGGCAAAATACTAAACCAAATATTTCAGTAAATCTAATTTAAAGTTTGGCTTACTATATGAAACACAGGTTGAGTGAAACAACTTTAATAGACTTAGATCCAGTCAAAGCATGAGCAAGATTAGATATGCCAACCTATGGGTCTGCTTTCTTCTTGTGCTGGTGTACATCTAGATATAGGACTTTCTTAGGACTTAATGGAGTTACAGTGGTATATAACAAGGAAGAGATAAGAAACACTATCACAGTTCAAACAGCTCATTAGTGTGTGAATGGTTGTATTTCACTTTCTCCCACTGCAGTCTGTTTTTGCGTGCCCTGTCATTAGAAATCAAAACCCAACATTTGTTTTATTTTTTGAACCATTAGATTACCAGTTTCTCACCTGGTGTAATATTGTCTGAATATTTGACACTTCAGCATGAAGCATCTTTTCAAATGAAAAGAAGTCTCTTAAAGTGTTGGTACCCAACAAACTGTTGGGTAGGAAAGTATTTGGGTCACGCTAGATGGAACTTGAAAATAGAGAAGGATCAGGTACTTTATAAGAAAGGAGATTGTGGCTACATGCATGCATTCAAATCTGAGAGAATTTTCTCAAGCATGTTCTCCTGGCAGAGACTTACCCGAATCACGTGTACAGACATTCAAATGCTGTGCCCCCCAAAGAGTGGAGAGCTTGCAGTCCTGACACTGTGCAACCAGGGAGAGATCCTGTGCATGCATCTCAGTAGGTTTCTTTTAGCTTGCCTGGAGATTGACTGACCCAGACTACTCTGGTCATCCTGTTTCCCTGCAGCACAGTGTGGGGATTGAGAAGCAGGTGTGTTTTGTAGAGCAGCAGAGTCCAGTGAACGACACGGTTGCCCAGAGGAAGGGTGGGGGCATGCGTAATCCAAGTGGACCATGTTCTCTTCTGAGAGCAGCTATAGCATTAACAGATATTTGCTGTCCCAGGAGAAACTTAACCTGGGAACAATCAGAGTTAAATCACTCCAGGGAATTTTTTTCCTAGAGCAGCCATTTTTACTCTAGGAGAAAAAGCCCAAACTCGTGGTTTCTTCCGGGAGAGCAGCAACTCCCAGGAATGTCTGTATATATGTGTTATCACAGAGGAGCTGCACACGTTGGTGGTTTTTTGTTTTTTTTTTGTCCTAATGCATCAAGGTAGTAATTCACATGTAGATTTCATAGGTCCATATTTTTAGAGGCATCCATTTACCTTACTCCCCTAGAAGTGGTGGCTCAATACCTCTATAAATCTGGCCCAAAGTGCTTTATAGTGAAGGTCATCATATTATCCCTATTTTAGAGAGAGGGCAGTTGAGCTACAGAGGGGGAATGCAGTCTGTCCAAGGTCACCTATTAGGTTATTGGCAGAGCCAAAAATGAACCCAGGTCTTCTGAGCTACAGACCAGTGCTCTAGCCACTATACTATGCTACCCCATTTAGGGAGGAAGAAATCAAATGGAGGCACTTGCCATTCACTGCCCATTGTCATGCTGATGCTGTCTTGTAGTTTTTTGAAAGCCTAAGCCCTAAGATCTGATTTCCATCTGTCACTCTGTCAGCCACTAGATCTGACACTATTGCTGTTGTGCTGCTGTTTTGCCTACAGTTACCTATTCATCCAAAGCCTCACATCTTTTACCCTGATCTGTCTTGTGTCACAGACATCTTCCCCCCTAACAGGACTGGCTGGAATTTTTGTTGACATACTGGCCAGACAGGTCACTGTTGAGTAGCACAAGGATCTGTTTCTGTTACATCTGAGAGGATAAAACCAGGCAACATATTTTATGTGATAACATTTTAAATCAACTTCTGGTCCTGTGGGCCAGCTGAATGGGTGCTGGGCTAGTCTATAGGCCAGATTCAGCTTGGGGTCAGTGCAGTGGTCAGTCTGCAGGTGCAATGTGCCGGATCCAGTCACAGACTGACTCACCCATGGGATCCAGCTCCTGCACCCAATCCTGACATTGGAAATGACCCTGTGCACGAGTGTGATCCAGCGCACAAGGCCATGTCACTTGGCCTGCAGGGCTGTCCACGAGTTCCAGGGCTCCCTACTCTGGAAGCCGTGGCAATTAATGCTGCTACTACTCCCCTGCAGCCAAATTTGCAGGCTGGAATCTGTCTGAGAGCCAGGGATCAAGCACCATTTTGTTTGTTTGTTTGTTTTTAGACCTACCAAATTGATCCTATAGGAATAATTGTTTTAAGTTGAGCACTAGAGTTGTTACAAGATTCTGTTTAACAGTGTTTCATAACTAATCAGACATCCTTGGACTTCTATAAAAATATGTCCCCTGATATCGTTATAATGTAACTGAAATTGTTATATTTGCTCCAATGAGAACCTTTCAAAAGGTAGGTATATATAATAAGATGAAAACCATTTTAAGTGGGTAGCATAAAGATTCGCTCTCCCTGAACCTAATGTTTTCCTGTACCATATTAAGAGCTTTTAGCTGGAATTTTAGCTCCAATGCTTTTCACCAGGATAGTTATAGCATTTTCTCATTTGTAGTGACATTTGTATCCAGTTGAAGCAGTGCATTTATTTATACATGCAATTATTTATAAATATATGCAGTATACTGGTTTTGCTGTTCATCACTGCTGGCACTGACACAGATTTAATTTAAATGGTGTTTGGTTGTCTTATCCAATGCTTTCTTATGCTCCAAAGAGTGTTTTCCCTGTTTTAATGTCATATATGTGCTTCTTAAGTATCTCAGCAACTAGAAATGGGTAAGCTAACACTGCTTTGTACACAGAAATATTGTACTAATCTTAGCATTAATTATCCCATCTCTGTGGAAAAAAGTGTGTTGTACTGGATTGATCCTTTTAGCTTCAGAGCTGGACTATCAGATGACTTTCCATGGCTGTTGATAGTTGTGACTGATTGGCTTGATATTTCCATTTAGATTCTTTATTGTGGGGGATAGACAGCTATGAATGTATTTCCAGCAGTTTCCCATGACTGAATCTAAACACTGAGAAAAAACAAAAACTTGAGCTGTACTTGTTCAGAAAATGAAAGAGATTTATTTTAAAGGAATAAAATGCAGATAGTGTTGCTTTTTACAGCGTAATAAACAAGAATAGTAAAAAAAAAAAAAAAAAAGTTGGCTGATTTTTTTTGGTTC